AATACTATATTATATTGTATACAATAATACAATTTAATACTTTGAATATAATTTAATTTAAATACTACATTATTATAACCATTCTCTAGCCAGATTATGATCTTTAAAAAGAGACTCTAATTGTGGTTTTTTATTAAAAAAATTTACTTCAAGAACAACAAAATATACAATTTATAATAATGTTAACAGTAATTCTTCTTCATAAAATGTACCTACCTTCTATATCATAAATTTTATAATAAACAACATTTGATATAAAAACTTTTTCAATTGTAAAAATTTCCTTGGACCAATTTTTTTCAATTTATTTCTATATACATCAACTACTGATGATAATCTAACTCTATCATTTATCTCAAATTTTGGTACAGAATTACTAATATCATAGCTGTTGTATCTTTATAGTACAATATGATAAATTTCATTATCGGTTATCATTAGTAGCGCGAACCGCGGCCGACCCAGTCGAGTGCTACCATACATAATACATATATGGCACTATATATATATGTATATAACTGAAATCAAGCAAAAGAGGAAATCTTTGTTACGGTTTGGCTTCGAAACTACTTATTGGATCATCTTGCAATTTTTTTTAAATTAAAGAGGACATCACAGAGAAGGTTTTGGGCATAAAAAATTTGAGAAAGTTACCAATAATAATATTGTTTGGTAGTCAATGACAACCATTTAAACAAACAAGACGTGCTCTCGAGAGCAGCTAAACACGACCGTTTCACCAGCCCCCCCCCCAATATTGAAATCTCGAAATTTTTTTTTACCAATAATTAGCATGAATTGGCAAAACTATTATCATAATTTGCATGACAATATTTAATGAGATATAACCAATCAACTATGGGGTGGCTGATGATATTTATTATCACAAAGTGTGGCCATTTGGGTCACACAAAACCAAGATATGAATAAAAAAAATGCTGCCGGTATATACCCCGCTAGGCCCTCATAGAAGCGCGAGGCTGTAGGCAATGTCCCTGCTCGCCCGCCCGTCGCGCCGGCACTGGTGATCAGTTCATAACAAGTATCTGTGTTACCTAATCTAAATTCAAGATTATTAGATATAATTAATGATATTGATAATTCAATTCTTAAAGATATCTGTATACTAGACAAAAGTTCTTGGCCTCAATCGGTTGGTGTAAAGGTACGGTTTCCCTGCGACTTCTAGACGCGATAGAACGACGCGTCTTGACGCGGCGTCTGAACGCTGCGTTTACCCTGTTTTCCCTGTAGCGTCAGACGCTGCAAATTTTATTATTTTATCCCATTCTTCATAAAAAAAAAAAAAAACGCTCCGCTCAGAATCTAAAATACAGATATTGTTATTGATGTTGAAAAGTTATTAATTTTGTCAAATATGATTTAATTCTAGTTTTTGGTTTTACTAACTCATTATTATAACGATGTAGTCGAATGGTTAAATAATATTTTGAAATTACTTTAATTAATTGCAATAAATGATTATTTATTGGGGACTGGGCACGTATATAGTTGGACAAACTTTTAAAATATTCATTTATTTAATACCAGACATCACTTTTACAACTACAACGTCAATCGTTGACGTTGTGTTACAGCCTTTTATATTGCAATATTGCACCATGGTTTTGTACAAAACAGCTAAAAAAAACCAAAATATTATAGTTTTAAACTACAAAAGTACTATTAACATTTCTAATTAAACTTCAAATTATTTAATTTTTTAAAACGCCGGATGATAGGTAACACAATTTATCATGGAATAAAATATTGTTTTTTCCATGAATTCCAACGGCTAGCTCTGTCTGTTTTGCTTAATATCCACTTGGTGTCCCAACAATTGAGCGCGCGACAATTGGGCGAAGACAATTGAGCGCGGCGAAAATTGGGCGCTGTGATAATTAAGCGCTGAGACAGTTTCAGCGCTATTACATTTACTGCTGTACACGAAATGACGAAATTAGAAATAAATTTGWTCGCACTGTCTTTGAATACCTATATAAACCGTCAGAAAATATTTATGTTTGATGATAATGTTATTACTTATTTGCCGCATCGTTCGTATCGTATCGATACAGTGTTATTAAATCGTTTTTTTTTAGAATACAATTCCAACGACGATAACGCAGCAGTCGATGTAGATTCTTATCGCTGGATATAACTTTATTGTCATATTTTCACATGGGCATACTGGCACACTGTGCATTCTCTTTTAAATTTTTTTAAATTATAAAATGGAATTTATTAAAAGTGAAAAAGGTCGAGACCTTCTGTGTTACAACGGATATATATACAGATTCGACAAAAACAGTAGTTGGCGATGTATTGAATRCAATACGAAAAAATGTCGTGGTCGTATTAATTTAACGGATGGTCAAATTATTAGTGAAAGTGAAAAAGAGCACAACCATGTACCCGATATTGCAAAAATTGAAGCGAGAAAAGCAGTGCAATTTTTAAAAACAACTGCAAAACATACTGAACTTAGTACTCAAGCTGTTTTAGGTATCTTTACAGGTAAATATAATATAAAATTTAATATTTATATTTTATGAGATCATTATTATATATTTATATCAATGTATAATTTATAGTAGTAACTTTCGTTTTCTGTCAGTGTTTATAATAATCGCATATTGATTTTAACATAGGAAACACTATTCATTAGTACTAATATATACGTTTTACTTTATCGTTTGTACGTATTTACATATACAGTGTGTTCACCGATTTAGGGAACACTGAATTTCTAGGCCGGATTTGTTTGGAATAAATCGATTTTTTTTTTTTTTTTACAAACTGGTGGTATATGAATACTCATTTTTCGATATATTTCAAAAACTTTTGAGAATTTAGTCTGCGCATACGCAGTAAAAACTTTTTTTAAATAGCAACACCTATTTTTAACACCATATTCGGATTGGCATATTTTTAAAGTAATTTTTATGTGTTAACTATGGCTCTAAGTTCAATATTGACTGAATAAGAGCCATGTCAATTTTATTAAATAATACATTTTATATGCAAAAACAACTTGTATCGACATGTTATAATTTTAACTTTCATGTTTAAGAAATAAAAAAAAAATTAAAATATTTGTTTTATTACTATTGTAGATTACTGAAGCGGTTGCTGGTCAATTACCAGCAGTTGATTCAATKAAAAAAACTGTTCAAAGAATTCGCCAAAAAGAATTAATGGCACCAGCAATTCCATCTTCATTGAAGGAGTTGATCATTCCACCAGAATTTACAACAACATTAGATGGTAAATCATTTTTATTGTATGATAGTTACTCGCAAAATCAAGAAATTCCACGCATATTAATTTTTTCAACTACAGAAAATCTTGATATGATGGTTGATTGTGAACATTTATATGTTGATGGTACTTTTTCATCGTCACATAGTATTTTCTACCAGCTATATACAATTCACGGCGTACAATAAATGCAGTGAAAAAAGTATTTCCTCAAACAGAAATAAATGGCTGTTTTTTTCACTTTTGTCAGTCTATATGGAGACATATTCAAAATACGGGACTCGCCATAAAATATCGTGAAAATTCCGAGTTTGCATTAAATATTAAATGTTAAATGCATTAGCATATGTTCCCTCAGAGTCTGTTATTACTGCATTCGAAGACCTATTACAAACAGATTTTTATATAGAACATGAAACCATATTGACACCTCCTTAGATTATTTTGAAGACACGTGGATAGGTCGTATAAGTCGTAACAGGCAACGAAGGTCTCCAAAGTTTCCTATACAATTATGGAACTGTTATGGATTGATTAAAAATGATTGAAAAGGACCAACAATGCTATTGAAGGATGATGGCATTATTCATTTAAATCAATTTTAAATGCAGTTCATCCATCAATTTGGAAATTTATCGACGCTCTAAAAAAAGAGGAAAAGTTGAATCGCATGAGAATTCACCAATTTGTTGCAGGTAATGAACCAAAACCAAAAAAAAAATACAAAGATTCAGAATTGAGGATAAAAAATATTTGTGAACAATTTCATTCCAGATCAACTGAACATTTTTTAAAAGGCATTGCTCAAAATATTTAATATTTTAACTTGGCTCATAATGTATTATAAACCATACTATGACTTAATTTTTATTTTTCAAAATTATTATACTACATTTTTTATTTTTATTTTTATTTTTTATATATTGCGCTCAATTATCTTAGCGCTTAATTTTCGCAGCGCTTAATTGTCGTGCGCTCAATAGTCTTCGCTCAATTGTCACGCGCTCAATTGTCTGCGCTCAATTGTCGTGAATCCACTTATGATTTCTCTCTCTATGCGCGGCCCAT